ATCGAGACGATGAAACCTATCAGCTTCTGGAAGATTCCCAGCAACGGGAATTCTGTCAGTAATGTCACTTGCTTTAGTGTTTGAACTGTGCTCTAAAAATGCTTAGAGTGGCCTTGGTAGAGCAGGGGTCTCACCTTTCCTTCCCAGAGTACCAGAGAAAGGATGTGAGAAAATAAGGCATATATAAAGACCGGATGCCATGTCTGCGTGTTTCCAGAAACAAAGGCATCTCTTGGAAGGTACATGAGATAAATTCTCTCATGTCATTGTGTAATGTTCATGGAAAGACAGGAACAAAGCCTCCTCAGAATTTACAACAGCAGCCGGGTTAGCTTTGTGGGTTGTTCTTACAGACAGTATGTTGCTTTAAACATGTAGTGATAAAAGGAAATTTGCTTGGATTCTTACAGCTAACAGCTTCTGTGTAAGCTGAGAGGTGAGAGTGGGGGTACAGAGGGGTACAGACTTCTTATAAGCGGCAGAAGTTCTTGCTTGTGATAGCTTTCATGGCATCCATTTTCTGAAGATCCAGGAAGCATGAGAGCATCGCAAAGCTTTGTTAACAGAGTCTTGACGAATGTGTTATGTTTGGGGTTGTGAAGGCTGCGTTGCTCAGCTCTTTCCTAGCGAATAGTGCTGGGTAAGCTTGAACGACCACACCCTAGGCCTGAAACTGGCTTACCTGTTAAGTGCCTGTCCTGCAGGCATGAGGACCTGAGTTTAGATCCCGAGCAATCACACCAGGATGCTGGGGAAGTGCCTATAACCTCAGTCAGCGGGATGGGGAGGTGGGGGTGGGGCGGGGGGGGGTGGGGTGGGGGGGTGGGATTGGAGACAGGCAATCTCTGGAGCTCATTGGCCAGCCCACTTAGTGGAATCTATGAACTGCAGGCTCAGCGAGAGACCTTGTTCTGAATGGAGAATGATCTACTACAGCTCTACTTTGGTTTTCAACGGATGGGTTTATTAAATGGACAGTAAGCAAAAAATCAGAGCACAAACGGCAGGCAGAAGACTGTAAAACATCCTCACATCATGTGCTTACAACAAGGGAGTGCTCACAACATCCAGTAGAAATGACTAGGGAATTGTTGCTAAATAACCAGGCTGGACATCACGATGGTGAGTCCTGAGCAGACCCAGACTCTCCCTGAGTGAGCTGCAGGCCTCCAGGTCCTGACACGGGACATTTTATACCGTGAGATAAACAGTAACCTCTGTGGAAATGGTTCACCTTCTAGCTGCTCTCAAGGGCACGTGCTGTTTTCCTATCGCCTTGTTACAGAGCCAGGAGCTGGGCTGCCCCAGGACAAGGAGTCCTGGAGGACATTTGAAGTAAATATGGCTGCTTGTTCTCAGAGCCAGCTCTCAGCAAGTACAGATGGCACATGACAATTATGGATATAATATATTACAGACCTTGTCTCAAAAACTATGGGGAGCAATGGCAGAAGATGCTCAACTTCATTCTGGCCTCTACACAAATGCACGCACGCGCACAGACCACTATATTAAAAGGAAGTAGAAAATTGATGAAAATGAAGCAAATTAAAATTTGCAAAGCTCACCAAGGATCCATTAAAAATCACACAGTGTTTACTGCTGAGCAGCCCAGAGCATATCCAGAAGCAGTTCAGTGGTGCTATTAGCATTTCTGGCCGAGAAGAGTTACCTCAGAAATGGTGACTCACTTTCAGGATGGAGATTTCCGTGACATCAACAGATTCCTTCATATACCCCATTCATTATTGCTTGTGACTAACCTGGTTTGTCAAATGGCCAGGAAATGTATGAACCTGTGCTCAGCATTGCCATCAGGGCTCATGGAGTAGAATAATTAATATTGTGGAAACGGCCATTCTGCCAAAAGCAATCTAAAGATTAATGGAATCCTCAAAATTTCTTCACAGAAATAGAACAAACAATCTTAAAATTCATACAGAAGCACCAAAGACCTCAGATAGACAAAGTAACCTTGGGCAAAGAGAACACTGTTGGAGAGATCACCATACCTGATGTCAGGGGAGACTCCAGAGCCACATTTTTGTGCCACATGGAGTGCTTTAGGGCAGGGGATAGCCCAAGCAGAGCAGCGGCACACAGCCCAGATGTCCCACCCCTGAGTGTTTACCCAAGGCCTCCATATCAATATAGCCCAGGAACAATTGTTCACTGCAGTACTGTTCACAATTCCTAGGTTATGAAACTAACCTAGGTGCCCAGCAACAGACGGATAGACAAGAAAAAAATTGATAAACACACACACACACACACACACACACACACACACACACACACACACACACAAATGAAGCTTCTTCAGTCATAATGAACTTTAGTCTTTTGCAAGAAAATACGTGAAAAAAAGTCATGTTTTCTCTCGTCTGTGCCTCCTAGATTTTAAACAGACACATGAAATCATGTATGTATAACTGATATGAAACACAGTGGACCTTTCTAGAGAAAGGGGGACTGACAGGAGAGGGGAGGTAAGTGGGGCAAACTCAGTGTACAGTGAACATGAAAACGTCACAACACCACATACAATATACTCACAAGCAAAAATTCAAAGATTTTCATCAACAAAGGCTCGTTTGTTCAGCTCCTTCTACTTTTATGCCTTCTGTTCTTTTAGTTTATTGTCTCTTCACTATTTAGAGCCTAGCTTTTTAAATTGTGGATTACCATCCCACACGAGGTCATGTACGTGTAGAATCCAGATTAGATTGCTGCTAAGGCCGTGACCACAGAAACCACCTTTTTCTTCTGTAAAAGAAATGGAAACCCTCTTACACATCCTCGACTCTCTAACCCACTAGCCGATTCCCCTGGTGCCACATTCCCGGAGAACGTCAGGTGCCATCCCTACTTTCCCAAGGAAGTTTACGGCATCTGGATTTTCAGACTCCAGGATGGTAGAGGGCTATGGTAGTGGCCCATTCTGCCACCCACAGTGGGTCTATTTCCACTGACGTGTCCCTCCCCTCCCTTCTTCCACATCCTCAGAGTCTTTCCTTTCTAACAGGAGACCCATTCCCTTCCCTCCCTTCCCCGGCCACCTGCTGGGGAGTCAGTCTAACCACATTGCTCTTCCCTTTCCTCAGATCCCTGAGAAGGGCTTGGCCCCTCTGCCTCAGGGGTCTGAGCTCTCCTGCTGCTGTCAGTCTATTCACGGAGTCAACATCTCTTCTAGCAAACCTCCTACCCCAGGGGACAGTCTGCCTCAGTGTCTCCCTCCCATGGGCCCCAAACTTGAGACCTTTCAAAGACCACCACATTCAAAGTCAAATGCATAATGAATCTGAGGAATGTCTGGCAGTGATCACCAAGGTCACACTGTACAACTTCATGGTGTTAGAAATGAGTTCTTGGTTGCAAAGAGGGAGACCACTGCTTTAGTTAAAGTATCTCAACAAGGCGAAACTTTATTTCTGAACAGAAGAGTGACTACTCACAAAATCAGAACAAGCACAGGAATCCCCTGTCTTTTCCCCATTGCCTGGGGTTTGACCTCATAGTCTTTCACAATTGGCTGGTTTTTTAGTTGGTTGGATTTTTGTTGTTGTTGTTATTTTTGTTTTGTTTTATCTTGTTTTTTCGAAACAGGGTTTCTCTGTGTACCCTGCTGTCCTACAACTCACTTTGTAAACCAGGCTGACCTCACAGAGATCCACCTACCTCTGCCTCCCAAGTGCTGGGATTAGAGCCCTGTGCCACCACCGCCCAGCAGAATTGGCTCGTTTTCAAAGAAGCAGTACAAAGGATGCGAAGGGAAGAGGTGGGGCACCTAAGTCACTTCCGATCTGAAAATGAAGTAGGGCCTTGGTGTAAACAAAAGCTTTACCTGGTAGTGTGTGTGTGTGTGTGTGTGGGGGGGGGGGGGGTTTAAAACATTTGCATGAAGGCTTCACTGGGTGGTGGATTTGAATTCCTTGTTGCAAACAAAGGTTTTACAGTGTTTGGCAGGAAAGAGGAATATTTAATGTCTCTTTAGAACAGTGGCTGCTTAGGAATCTCAGCACTCACACTTCTGTCTGTGAACTCCATCTTACCATGAAGCACCACCAAATGCTGCCTGAAATACCCAGCTCAGATCCAAGGCCACTGAAGCTTTTGAGTAGTAGTCTTCTCACTATGCAAAGTGCTGATCTCCTTATAGGGAAATAATGATTTATTTAAGGAAACAAAGACAATATTTCCTGTTGTGGCAGGAGGGAAAAGTCCAAAGTGCAGGGCTAAAAGTATCTACAGATTAGAATTGCTATGAAAGGTCTAATAAAGAATATACACTGTAGACAGAACATAGGCAGAAAATACAGCAGGGATGTGGGGGGAGAGACACAGAGAGAGAGACAGAGACTTACAGAGACACAGAGAGACACAGAAAGAAGAGAGACAGACAGACAGAGACACACAGAGAGACAGACAGACAGACAGACACACACACACACACACACACACACACACACGGGGGGGGGGGGGGGGGGAGAGAGAGAGAGAGAGAGAGAGAGAGAGAGAGAGAGGAAAGGTTTTTTGCACCCAGATAAGCCTCTCCACTGACACAGCAATCCAAATCAGACCAAATCAGACCGAATTAGAAAAAGCCCCAGTTTAATAGGTAAAGCATTTCCAGGTGATTCTCCAGCCCCCCAGAGAGGAGGTGGGGAGGAGAGATTGGAAAACCACGTGTCTGTTTTCTGGGATGCAGCTTAAATACCCTGTGGGAGTGGTCTTGAGCATCTCTGGGGGAGGAGTCATGTTTGGCGGGCTTTGAAGGAGTGGGTTTGGGGAAAGAGATAGAGGAGGGGAGTTGAGGTGGATCTTCCACGAGAACAAGAGAGAGAAAAGAGAGAGAGAGAGAGAGAGAGAGAGAGAGAGAGAGAGAGAGAGAGAGAGAGAGTAAATCACACTCCTGTAGAAGTAACCAACGGTCTTATTAAATAAGAAACACAGAGCCAATTCAGAGAAGAAAGCCAAGAGGTCAGAGCTAAGAGCCTCACCCTTCCTGGTTCAGGGATCCTCTTCAGCCAAGAGAGCTCTCCGAAAGGGGGCTACTTCCTGTGTGTGTGTCTTTATATAGTCTAGCTGTTCTGCCTTCTCATTGGTTGTAAACCCAAACATGTGACTGCCTCGTCACTGCCTGAGTGTACTGCCCTCCAGGTCCTTAAAGGCGTGCGCCACCGCCGCCACGTACTTGCTATGGCTCTAATAGCTCTGACCCCCAGACAACTTTATTTATTAACATACAATTAAAATCACATTTCAGTACAAGTAAAATACCACCACACACTCCCGAGAGGGAATGGGGTCTTTTCATACCAATTAAGAGAAGCTACCTGTCCTTGTCTCATGGGTTGTCTGTGTATTATTTTATAATACCATTCCTTAACAAAGTTTTCTCTGCTTGATTGTAATCCGCCTATCTGCTGTTTCCACCAAGGTATTTGGAAAGTTATTTATAATGTTCTTCACTCTGTCGCTATAAAAATGTCATAAAGTTGTTACCACACTGGAATGTGGTGTTTGGGGTAACCTAAATTTGTGCTGCTGTGTCATGAGCTCTCAGATTTGGCTCCAGAATAAATTATCTCTTGCTCCTTCTGAGGTGAAAGCTGTGGGGCTTTTTGTTTGTTTTGTTTTGTTTTGTTCTATCTATAACTATGCCTTGCAGATTGAATTCTTTATTTAAGAACAAATAAGCACACCCACCTTGGTATGTGTTAGATCATGGGTCCTACTGTCTCACAGGTCAAACCACACCCATTCTCACACCACCCCCAACTCAAGAGTCGGGTATCTCCTGTCTTTCTTTTCTCCTACCTCTCACAAAGGGCTGAATCTCCTCTCTTCCCCTGCCACCTGGGAAGTGGCTGCATGCAGACACTATAGGCCACTGTTAACTAATCCTGCATTGCTGGATGGGCCCTCCCCTTCCCTTCACAAACCTTTAATAACAGACACTATGCTTTGTCTGGTTGTCTTAGTTACTTTTTTTATTGCTGTGAGGAGACACAATTGCTGTGGGATGTTCTGTATGGCAAATGTGTTGCTCTGATTGGTCAATAAATAAAATACTGACTGGCCAGTGGCTAGGCAGGAGGTATAGGCAGGACTAACAGAGAGGAGAAAAGAAAGAACAAGAAGGCAGAAAGAGTCACTGCCAGCCGCTATGACTAGCATCATGTGAAGATGCCGGTAAGCCACGAGTCATGTGGCAAGGTATAGATTTATAGAAATGGATTAATTTAAGATATAAGAACAGTTAGCAAGAAGCCTGCCACGGCCATACAGTTTGTAACCAATATAAGTCTCTGTGTTTACTTGGTTGGGTCTGAGCGGCTGTGGGACTGGCAGGTGACAGAGATTTGTCCTGACTGTGGGCAAGGCAGGAAAACTCTAGCTACACACAATGCCCAAGGCAACTTATAAAAGAAAGCATTTAATTGGGGCTTGCTTACAGTACCAGAGGATTAGTCCATGGTCATTAAGGCAGCAGGCAGGCAGGCAGGCAGACAGGCAGGCAGGCATGGTGCTGGATCAATAGCTGTGTACTCACATATGATCCACAAGCTGGAGGCAGAGAAGAGAGACTGGACCTGGTGTGGGCGTTTTAAACCTCACAGCCTGCCCCCAGTGACACACTCCTCCAACAAGGCCACACCTCCTAATCTTTCCTAAAAACAATTCCACCAACTAGAGACCAAGCATTCAAATATAAGAGCCAATAGGGGCCACGCTCATTCAAAGCACCACTCTGTTGGGACCAAAACAGAATCTCCCTTGCTTCAGAGGCCCACCATAAGGTACACCCGTGAAGCTCTCACTTGAAGACAGTTCTTCTTCGTGCTTCTCTCTGGAATCTACCACCTCTCATCTCCATCCCTAAAAAGCAAAAACAAACAAACAAATAAAAAGCTAGCACTATGGGAATTTACTTTTGTCGTTAAGAAATGCTGAAGCTGGGGGACTGGGGAGATAGCTCAGTCAGCAAAGGGCCTGTCATGTAAGCACAAAGACCTGAGCTTGTATCCCCTGAATCTATGTGAAAATCCAGGCATGTCGGCATCTGCCTGCAAGCTCAGGGCTGCCGGTGCAAGAGCCAGATGGCTCCCTGAAGTGAATTGGCAAGGTAGCCTGGCAGATTCAATCAGTTTTAGATTCAGTGAGAGACTTTCTATCAAAAAATGAACACGAGAGCAATTGAGGACAGATACCTGAAGTCAACACCTGGCCTCCACAAGCAGGCCCACATGTATATACACCCCTGCACTCATATGTGTATATTAACAAGTGCACATATACACACACACAGACATACATACACACACACACACACCCGCACAAATACAAGAAATGCTAAAATTATATGTATCCTGGAGAATTTTTTAATGGTTATGTTTTTTATCAACAAATACTTGATTTGTAAAGCTAATTTATATACTTATATACATGGGGTCATGTAAAATTTTCTGGGGTGGTAAGGGGTCCCCAGGAAAAAGTTTAAGAAGTCCTGATTTAAATCGAGTGTACCCTATTGGTTTGTGAAGTTCATTGATTTTACTTGTGTTAGCCCTATTCTCCCACGGAGCCATCTAGTAAATTTCAAACATTACTTATTTTATTTCTAAGTTTTATCATTTCCATTCTCTTCTACTCCTTTGCTAAGGTTTTCCATTTTTACTTATTTCAAAATCGTTCTCATGAAACACATCAATACACATCTTGGTATCTACTCAATTTCCGGCTTGCAATTCTTCCCTCCCAGGGCTTTCCTAAGGTACCCAGCTATAAGAGAACAGGGCTGGAAAGTACCAGGGTGGTAAAGATAAACGTGTGTCTTTTGATATTAATAGAAAAACCCTTTCTGCAGTGCATGAGTTTATATTAGTGAGGAAAGTTCTAGAAAGTTCCTAAGTAACCACTGGCTGGAAAGCTGGTTGCTAGGGACACCAACCAGAAGATTAGAGGGTTGAAACTCAAAGCCTCACCCCAGCTCCTGGGAGCGAGGAAGGGCTGCAAGTTCAGCTGGTCCTCAAAGGCCAGCCATCTCATCAGCCTATGTAATGAAGCCCCATGAAAAGGACCAGGTTAGGGGACGCTTTCAGAGAGCTCATATGTGGATGTTCCTGGAGAGTGTGTTAAAAATAGCAACCTCAATGTTGCACAAAGGAGCATACAAAGCAGAAGTATCTCAGCAAAGCAAGTCCCTTTTTGCAAAAAGGGTATACCAGATTCCCAACCTGGCTAGCAGCACACCGAGGTCAACATGGCTTCTGCCTTTTATCCCTGATGTAGGTGGGGACTGCATCTCATCTCACCGGCAGGAGCTCGACTTCACACTCTGATGTGATTGGCTAATTGGCACAAGGGGAAAGGAGGAGGCTCAGGAAACAGAAGTCCTTCCTGGGCTAACTACTTTTGATCAAACAGCAACAACAAAACACCCATTTCTCACAGTGGGACACTGAGAATACATCAATGCTTCATTCCCCATCTTTCCACATGGGTGGACACATCTGTTCCATTGGCTCATTATCTGCATCCTTTGTATAACTTTTATAAGTGATAAATGTAGGTAAAGTATTGTCTTGAATTCTGTGAGTCACTCTAACAAAGTACTTGAGCCCAATATGTGGTCATTTCAATCCCCAATTTATGGCTAGTTAGAAGTGGAGGTGACAACCTACTACTTGGGACTGGAGTCTGGAGTGGGAGCATTTTCTCAAGACTGAACCTAGAGATGGAGTTTTCAGGACAAACCCCAGGGCTGGCAGCCTCCATAGGCTATGATTGGCCATTCCTCCTGATATAACCAATAAGGATACAAATAATGGTGAAAAACAGATTTGTTGAAAGGGATCAGAGAGAAAACAGAAATAGACAAATGAGTTCAGGGTCTCCGTGTCCATTTTTGGGAGTTCTGACACCAGCTTTAGATTTAAGCTGAGGAAGAACTGAGGCAGGGAATAGGATGTATGCATGCTTAAGCAGTCCTGGTCAAGGTGTGGTCCTGCCCATCCTTGTCTCAGCTCTGGTCCTGCAAACTGGTCCAAAGAAGTCCTGTTGTTGGAGGGGATAAGGTGGTTTTTCGGAGGTGGTTACTTCTGCTTCAGGGTGCAACCTTACCATCATGGGTAACTGCCATCTGGGCAGGGAATTTGTTCTGGGAGACTTGGCAGTTCTGGGAATTCAAGGAGTTTAAGAGAAAAGGTTGAGAACGACGACTTACTGCTGGTCTACAGTCAGAGTGAAGGTGATATTACTGTAACTATGGCTTGTTCAGGAGACCCCATTTTACCAGGAAATTTTTACTCTATTTTGAGGGAGAATGGTGACTGTAGCCCTTTGACCCACAAACCTTATACCTGTTTGGCACCACCCATATAGCACAGATGATAATGACTTATTCCAAGGAGCAGAAAGAGAGCCAACTGCCGTGGCACATGAGTAACGGAATTTTCCCAAGGGCCTGCCCTGAGAAGATTCCTCCCAGAGTCCTGGGGAAGATGCTATGTCCGGCGTGGGGTTATCTGGGGGAAAGGAATCTATGCACACCATGCTCTTATGTCCATTTACTTTATTTCTCTAAGACAGAATTTTACCTACACAGCTTCAGTTCCCTCCTGACATTCAGCTCCTGTCCAAGGAACTTACTTTTTCTGTCCCCTCATAGCCCTGGTAATAACTAAGTCCTTATGCTTTTCATCTCATCTCTGCCCTCTGTTCCTTCACCCTCCACCTTTCCTCCCTCTTCTCCTCTCCTGACCCGATTCACCTACAATCTACACTTTTCCTTGCTCCTCACTCCTCAGCCTAAGCCATTCTGCCTTGCCATCTACAGAATCTCTCCTTGTTCTGTTTACCTCTGGCCATGTGGCTCTCTGCCTGCCCTGGAATTCCACTCCAGTCTTTACTGCATTTGGTTATGCAAAAAGCCCTATTGTCCTCAGTCAATAGCTCTGCAATGCTACTAGGTCTGAAGGCAAGGGATGGTCTGAGCTTCATTTGTACAAGAAGCAAAGCTATGCGTTTACAGCCTGCCT